CTGGGGACGTAGGGGTCCGAGCCCTGGGGACGTAGGGGTCCGAGCCCGCGGAGCGGAGGCGGCCGGCGGGGGCACCCGGCGGGGAGGCTCGGGCAGGCCGGCGGGGCGCTCCAAGTGAGGTGCGCGTTCACCGCCGGACCTGCAGGCACCGAGGGGCCGAGCACTGTTGGCCGCTCAGGCGGGCCGGCCGCCCGCAGCCCGGGGAGGCAAAACCGCCGCCCCTCGCCCCAGCCCCCCGGGCCCGCCTGGGGACCGCCGGCCCGCCCCGGGCCCGCCGCGCTCGGGGCTCCGGGAGCGCCGCCTGCCCCCCGCGCCCCGGGGGCCGGTCGATGCCGGCACGGCCCCTGCCGCGGGAGAGGAGCGCCGGCTGCGCGGCGTTACCTTCCCAAGTCACGTCGTACATCTCCGACACCTTCGCCATCTTGGCACCGCCCCGTGACGTGCGCGCTGACGGGCCCGGCCGTCATTGGCGGGAGGCGGGAGGGGGCCGGCCCTGCGTCCCCTCTGCCCCCACCGCGCTCCCGCAGCTCCCGCCCGCGGCGTCCGGGTCGGGAAGAGTCCCGTCCCGCGGGACGGGAGCCTCCGAAAGGCTGGAGCTGGCGGGGCCGGAGCACCAGGCAGCCGGCGCCTGCCCCCCCGGGGCTCGGGCTGTGCCGGTCTGTGTTTGCTCCGGGGCCGCACCGACGGGGTACCAGCACGATCCCCGGTCCTGTCCCGCTCGCATACCGAGGGGCCTTGCGGGGTTAAAACCTCTGAGCCCAAGCTGAGGGCTGCAGGTTAATTTCCTATTTTATATTCCACATAACTTGGCCACGTCCAGGTTGTGCACCTGGAACGCGCTGCGCGAGGAGGCGCCTGGTGTGGTTTGGGTCCGGCGTGAGAAGTGCCCGAGTGTTTCCTGCCCCGGGATCCTGGAGGCCCCACGACCCGTCAAGGATGAAACGTCGGTTTCTCTGCAGCTGCCCCAGACCCGCCATGGGCAGTGAAACACCACATAACAAATTCGTGTCCACGGGTCGGAGGAGCCCTGAGGAGGTCACAGGCAGGAGTGGGGCTGTGGGCCGCCAGCCGTGCCCACCTCTGTGTCCTCTCCACGGTTTATCTTCCGACATCACGGCTTCTGCCGACCACCAGACACAAAGATGGTTTCTTGGTAAATGAGGCTCCCCGTTTCAATCCGGATTTCACTGTTGAAATCGGATAAATGTATTCAGCAGATAAATGCACCTCCGCTGAAGATGTTAAAAAAAAAAAAAAGTGAAGGATTTTTAATTTCATGTATGGTCTAGTTGATGTGGTGTTTAGTCATAGGTTGGACTCGATCTCAGAGATCTTTTCCAACGTAATTGCTTCTGTGATTCTGTATGCTAAAGGCACTGGATTTTAGAAAATATCACCAGAAACTTAATTGCCTTGACATTTAACTCTGATAAGGTCTCTTATGGGATATGCCTCAGACTCCATACTCAAAATTAATCCCCTAGTTCCATCAACAAATGAACTCTAGAATCAAGAATACTGTTTCTGTATTCATTATGTTCCTTCCCCTGACTAGAATAAACTACTAATTCTTCATACTATCTACAGTGTAATTAAATGTCACAACTTTGACAGCTAAAGGGCCTCACCTGGAATTCAAATGGTGGTCTAAAAATACTGTGTATGCCTAAATTTTCTTTCCTCTAAAGTGGTTTTTGATTTTCTAGGTGACTGAATTGTTTAGGCCCTATATAGCGCAGCTGTACTTCCAGGTGATTTTAAAATACCAGTGTCTGTATTATCTGAACATTTCCAAAACCATTCATTCATGGCTAGGCTTCGCGAACGAAGATTTGGGAAGGGCTCTACCCATTTTTCATGCAAGCGCGTTGATGGCTAAAAAGGCCAATACGAGAAAGGCAAGTCCGGTTGCAAAAGACACAGCAGAAAGACTCCTTAGATGGTATATTCTGCAAGGCTCGATTCTTTCTGCGTTGTCTTTTCTCCTCAAGGGTGATCCTGCGTGCTTTCTCAAAAGCATCAGCAGCGTTATAAATGGTCTGTCTCCAGGCCTCCCGATTAGAGGCCAGAGTGGACCAGTTATGGTGATCAATATGCCCGAGGCTGAGTTGTTGCTTCAGGGAGTCCTTGTATCTTTTCTTTGGAGCTCCTCTCTTGCGGCAGCCAGTGGCAAGTTCACCATAGAGCAGGATCTTAGGGAGGCGGTGGTCCTTCATCCTAGAGACGTGCCCTGCCCATCGCAGTTGCGTTCTCAGTAACATGGCCTCAATACTCGTAATTGCTGCCTGTTCCAGAACAGATGTATTGGTCACATAGTCTGACCAATGGATGTTAAGGATTGTACGGAGGCAGCGTTGATGGAAGCGTTCTAGGAGACGCAGGTGGTGGCGGTAGATGACCCATGATTCGGAACCATATAAAAGAGTAGACAGCACTATGGCTCTGTAAACACTGATCTTGGTGCTTTTCTTCAAGTGTTTATTACGCCATACTCGTTTATGGAGTTTTCCAAAAGCACTATATGCCTTCGCTAACCTATTGTCTATCTCCCCATCAATCTTACCATCTGAGGAGATGAGGCTGCCTAGGTAATTAAACTGTTGGACTGAATTGAGTTCTGACTGGCCGATGGTGATGTGGGGACGGTGGGGGACTTCCTGAGGTGCAGGCTGATGGAGAACTTCTGTCTTCTTTAAGCTGACTTCCAGCCCAAAGAGCTCAGCAGCCTCTGCAAAGCAGGATGTTAAACGCTGCAGAGCTGCTTCTGTGTGGGCAGCCCCCGGGCCGGCGCGGCGTCCTGCGCAGCGCCTGCAGCAGCCCCCGAGCCGAGTGGGGTCCCGCATGGCGTGTGCCATTTCCAAAACCATTTATATATTTATTCTCATAGTATATGAATAGGGAACTGATATTCCTGTTTTACAGGTAAAGGAGCGACTATGGAATAGTTACAGGCTAAATCCATAAAGGATTTAGAACACACCTGCTCTGCACATTACGGGGTAACACTGAAATAGCTGAGGTAAAATGAAAAATTAACTTGCAGAGTTCAGTGCTGCTGGATTGCTGAGCTAGCTATAATGCCTAATGTGGGACAGACAGAACTTTAAAGTATATAAATCCAAAATTTGATGCTTTTAAAAGCCCTGTCAGCTGTCACCTAGTGCTGAAGGAGCTGAAATTTCAGAAACATGTGTTTGAAGTGTTTGGGAGGGGTTTGAACTTGCTGTTCCCTGGACATCTAGCTTTATATTTCTGCACCTGCCCACAACTTCGTCTCGGCAAGAGGCTGGAGACGGTACCCCACAGGGGCTCAGTCTCGTTACTGTTCTCAGAAATAACTCTGATCTCTCTCCTAGCTAGATTTAGGCAATTCCCCAGTTATTCTGGATTCCTTCCCGAGACGTGCAGCCCTCCACCTGCACTGTAAGGCGAGACCAAGTCCTGAAGTTATGCACTGTAAGTGTTGCCTCCTGCCTTTCTTGGACATAGTCTCGAACGACTTGCCTAAAATCACATACACTGTGTTCTGCCGAGCTCAAGGCTGACCCTTCTACTGCATACCTCTGCTCTTACTGCGGAGTAGAAAACCATCCACACTCACCAAGAGACGGGAATTATTGTTACAATATCCCCTTATGCCAGATACTGTTATAGTTGGAAACAGAAATGTTTTTGGTATTAAGCTTTTTCTTCTTGGAAACTAAACCAGTGGTTTTTAAAGCTGTTTTCTTATGCCAAGGAGCTTCATCATTTAATTCAAAGTTTAAAGTGTTTTGTTAATAAAGCTTAAAATGCTCTAAAAAGGGAATAGTCATGTGAAATCCCTTTTATGGATCTGTCATTTTCTGCTCCTGTGCCACTTCTGCAGGAACTAAGTGGAAAGGCAATGATCCCAATCTCACATATTATGTTGTAAATGCAGTTTTTTTGAAGGGATTATTTAAAAGTGCAGAAAAGTCACCACCTACTTTTTGTGGGTACCACAGATAGTTCTACAGATTACTGAATGAAAATAAAAAAAAATATTTTTGGTGTGCTATTAAAAAAACCTTTCTCTTTTATTATGAAACCAATGAGTCAGTTCAGCAATAATCCTGTCAGAGTTATGGTTCAGAGCAGTGATACCAGCCAAGGAAGAAAAGCACAGTAATTTAATTTGCAGTTTACCAGTATAGCAAAACATGGAAGTCTGTATCCTGTGCATGAGGTATGGGGGATATAGAGACATTTGGGCTCATCACCTACTAAACAGGGTGTAGGACCTATTTTAGTTCAGTAATGGGGGTGGTGGTGGTGGTGTTAGTTTACTAATGTAACAGTGGTGGCATCCTTCTAGTAGGTAGGACATAGGAGAAAATAACTCCAGGACAGTCACAGCACAAGGAAGAATGTACATGTGTAGGATCTGTGTATGTTGTGAATGAATAAAGTGACAGTTTATCTTCTGTGCGAATCGATGATTCATTTGCTTGTTAAGATGCACTTTCCCACTGTGGAAGATATGGACAAACTTCGTTTTCTGTATGGACCATTTAAAGATACTGTTGTCTTGTTTAGTGATGCTAAAGATCAGTCCCAGAAGTTAAATTAGTGGATGAAAATTATAGGGAATTCAAAAAATTTGAATCATTAATCAATTTAAGGACTTTGCACTTTAATGTAGGTGCCTTTGAGTCTGACCCTACTTGGCATTCATCTGTTAGTGTTAGAACTTCAAATATTTTCTTGGATCAAATTTAAAACTTACCAAAGTGAAAAAATTAGGTAAGAAAATAAATTAATACATCTGCTTTAAGGGAATTACTATGACAGGTAATATATAGAGGAGAACATTTTAACATGCTTTAAAGTTCTATCACAGCATTGCCACAATAAGAAATGCCAAGTAAAAATTTTGTAAGTCATCTTGAAAAGTTTGAGGCATTTTCATATCATTTTGACCAGCACAAACTATTACATATTGGAACATACATAGCAAAGCAGTATGATTTTGAATTTTTAATTCAGCGTTACTATTTACAGTCAATTTAAAATTAATTCCCTCTTTCTGACTCCTAAGCTAAAGGACAATCCTTAGGCTATAAATCTTCCTGGCTATTGACAACCACAAATGGTGAACATGCCAGAATCACATCATTCAGCATGCCGTGAAAAAAGGAAAAGAGGAGACACTTTCAGAAAGCTGGGGAAAAAAAGAAATATAAATCAACTTGATGAATTGACATTGTTAACAATCCTTAAGCAAGTCAAACAACACTTCCTTTATGGCTTGATAGTCCAAACTGTACCCTGAGAGCCTTCTGAGACTGATTTTAAAATGGGAGTGAGATGAACAAACACCACAGATCCAAGTTTCTGAGTCCATATGGTAAGGTAGTATATGCTTCAAAGTTCATGTTTACTAGCTGACTAACTGACAAGCTTGACACTGCTGTC